GAAGTGACAGAAAACCAATTCCCCCACTACACGGAGAAAATGGTATAGTATACAGCACAGAGGAAAAAGCAGAGGTAATGAGGAGTACTCTCGAGAGAGAGTGTACATTAAATTACCACCCAGACGAAGACATCGACTTCATAGAAGAAGTCGAAAGACAAAGAGAAAGACCGGAAAACCCAAACGAAATTATCCCTCCAACAACACCGGAGGAGATAAATGAGCTAATCAAGAACAGCTCACCAAAAAAGGCTCCCGGTCCAGACCAAATTACGAACAGAGCTCTAAAATATCTACCAGCAAAAGCCATTGTTTATCTAACAAACATCATTAACGCAATGCTAAGGTTCAAAAAATTCCCAAATAGATGGAAAGAGGCCCATGTCATAATGTTACCGAAGCCCGGAAAAGACAGCACATTCCCACAAAACTACAGGCCGATAAGCTTACTACCAGCAATCAGCAAAATAGTAGAAAGAGTGATACTCAGCAGACTCCAAGCTGAAACAGACAGACTAAACATCATACCAGAAGCCCAATTTGGCTTCAGATCAGAACACTCTAGCGAGCTACAAGTACTCAGACTAACAGAGTACATAGCAGCAGGATTTAACGACAGACAATATACAGGAGCTGCATTCCTGGACGTAAGTAAAGCTTTCGACAGAGTCTGGCATAAGGGACTACTATACAAAATGAGAGACTACGGGTACAGCGGAGCAATGACAAGGCTGATCTCTTCTTACTTGAGCAACCGCAGTTTCAGAGTCCGGATAGGACAAGTCCTATCCGAACTCGGGAACCCGGAAGCTGGAGTACCACAGGGAGCGGTACTGTCACCTCTGCTGTACACGATATACACAGCAGATATACCTAGAACACCAGGTACATTATTAAGTCTCTATGCTGACGACACAGCGATAGCGGCCAAACACCGAAATGTAGACATAGCAGTCACCAATCTACAGACAGCGTTAGACGACATTGAAGAATGGAGTCCAAAGTGGAAAATTAAAATAAATTCAGACAAGACACAAGCTGTACTCTTCCAAAAGAGGCGAGAACAACCAGAAGAACAGGTCACAGTGCAAGAAAATCCCATTGAGTGGAAAAGCGAAGCGAAATACCTCGGAGTAATAATGGACAAAGGACTAACCTTCAATAAACACGTAGAAGCCACAGTACAAAAAGCCAACATGGCAAGGGCCGCAATAAGAGGCCTAGCGGGAAGGAAAAGCAAATTACGCATAAAAACCAAAATAAGACTAATAAACAGTATAGTCCTTCCTATACTGACATACGCATCACTTGCATGGGGACATATATGCAACACAACGAAAAAGAAAATACAGGCACAACACAACAAAAGCCTAAGAGAAGCGGTAAACGTACCAAGATACGTAGCTGAAAGATTCCTGTTCAGAGAGTTACAGCAAATCAGAGTGACTGATACAATGAAAGAAAAAGCTAGGATAAAATTCGCAGAACTAGAGAACCACCCTAGTCACATCCTACGAGAGATAATGAGGTATGACGCTTTCCACAGATGGAAGCACAAAAGACCAAAACAACAAATATTAGACTAACGCAAAACCAGAGGGAAAAATAAAAAACCCCCCAATAGGGACAAAATAGTACAAAAAGCCCAGAGTGAGAAGAAAATCTAATCAAAACACACACACATAAAGAAGACAGTTCGTAGCTCAAATCACCCAGAATATCGCAAATCGCCTCATTCACAGTGGGCCCTGTTGCTCACACTAGGATGCAGTCTACATTGTGGTAATGTATAATATTTAAATATTTTCTTTATTATAGTGTAGACTATGTACTAATTATGACTTTTCTTTTCACAGGCAACCTACAAAAAAAATCATAAAAAACACAAAAAACGGCCTCGGCCACCAAAAAAATTAAAAAACACTAACAAAAACCGGCTTCGGCCACCAAAAAAACTAACAAAAACCCCAAAACCCGGGCACGTAGGGCCCAACCCCCTTGAGCACCAAGTCGCCGAGCTGAGCCGGGACTCAGAGCGGAGACTTGAGGCCCAAGTAAGCAATTTTAGTTCGCGGATAAGCTACATTAAGATAAACAGGAATAAAGCGGAGATGCGCTGTCCTGAGTTTTCACATACGGTTAGGAAACCATGTTGGGGTTCAATTACCCAGGACCTCCACATGAAGAGCACTTGGCTGATTGTTGTGCCTCTATAGCGAATCAGATTGCTATAGGGGGGAAAGGGATGGTCTAGAGCATTGGAGCACGGTGGGGTGATTCCTGTTTTTAAACACGAATTAAAACACCTTGCTCCAATGAATTGTTACACCCGATCGTACTACCTGGGTGAACATGTCTCATAGGCTGGGTTCAATCAAATTGCTTGCTTGATATCTGATTACATTGATCTCGTTTTTTGGTGTATATATTTGGTGTGTATATTCTGACAATGCTTCACGTTTTATAATGTTTGTTTGTATTTCTTTATTTATTTTTTTCTTTCTCTTAGCATTTTCTATATATTATTTTGATCTCTAATTAATAATAATTAATAAATAAAGTGTTATTCTTAATCCATCAACATAAACTTTAGTATCTTATTTCCATATTCTTTCCAAAAACTATTCACATAATTAAAATACTAAATCTCCCCTATTAACCTATTTTAAAATTAACTGTAACTAATTGAAGTACAATAAAGATATTAAAGAGTAATTATTTATTATTACAGGTTTGAGAATTGACTTTAAAAGATCTTGATAGTATGAGTATCCAAAATTGAATTGTAATGGTGTAATTATTTAATTGATCTTATTGTTTCGGATTGAAAATTAAATAATTTGTATAAAACCAAATTATAGAACAATGCTAACATGGACGTCATGTTTTTGGAATTAAAAGTATACACTAAAAAATATGTTCACTACGTGTAAGTCAGTGTGTAGTATCATTGAAAAGTAATATATCTTTTTTTCTGCAACATCAGTTATTTGTTATACATCAGGGGTCTCGTCTAACTGAAAGCTGAGTCTCAATACTCTATCAGCGTGGAAACTGCTCTACCAAATACAACACCCTATCAGGTAGCTGTTGTTTACAAACACTTCCGATTTAACATCGAAATTAGTATACTATCCACGTTCGTCCTTCTAAAGATGTGGTTTAGTGGCAAAAATCGACCCCACCGTAAATCGATAATAATCATAATGAAAATAAGGATTCGTGCCATAATCCTAGCAAACTACGATTGTCTAGTAAAGTCACATTGTTGAGCTTTTCGAATCTCGGAACTTCAAAAATATTGTTGCCACTTTTGACTATTACTGCGTCTACCAAATTTTCGAATTTGCGGCTCCTGTCATACTAAGCAGGATTACTATAGCAACGACAAATCATCAGTAGGATAAAAATGTTTCACGACGGTCACAAAGCAGCTTACGTTCCCTCTCTACAGGGGAACTACCCAACGATTGGTGAATTCTGCTTCGCAACGATAGGATGAGCTGATATGGAAGGATGAAAAAGCAACTAAAAAAAGGAATTTGAAATTGGTTTTTAAAAGAATGGTTATGATTTAGAAGGTGAACTGCGTACGTTTAATCGGCTTTTCTATTTTTGAATTTCTTTTGTGTTCTGCTATACGTTTTTTAAAATTTCTACCAGTTTGACCGATGTAAGTTTTTGGGCAGTTACCCAACGTAAGTTTGTTCTGTGTAAGTAATTATTCTTTTGGCTCTTATCTATTATCTCCTAATATAATTATCTGAAAGTCTAATTTCAGGGATTTCTTATGCAGTTATTGGTTTAAAATTTTATTTATTGTTTGTTATTTCTACCCATAGCTTATTACTAAATCTTGTCGCCTCTGCCAACTCACGCATATACCTTTGAATAATTTAAAACCATTTCATGGACTTTCTTCGCATTATCCGGTGTAACGCATCGGATGACCGTTTAATCCGTTGTTCTTCCAATGTAGAGATACAGACACTACGAAATTCACGGCCCCAAAATTTAACAATGTAGTCTGAAGGAGCATTAGTCCCATAATATTTAACCAGTTTTCCTTTTGTTTTTTTTATCGTTTTATTTCCAAAATATTAATGTTCAATGAGAAATCGAAAATCGTTTTTCTCCATATGTGTCTTTTTTTCAAACAAATCAACTTTATGTAGCTGTCAAAAATATACTAATGACTGCATCGTGCTAAAATTTGACATATGTACCTAAAAAAAGGTTAGAATTTCTATAACTTATATTTTTTTGAGATCCCATACTTTGATTTGGCAATGCTTTTTCGACATATTTGACATTTTCCTGTTTTTTGCGTTTTTCTGTGTTAAGCAGTTTTTGTGTTTTTCATCTTTTTTAGCATTTTTCGGGCATTTTTCATCATTTTTCGTAATTTTCCAGGTTTTTGGAATTTTTTGCGTTTTTCGGAATTTTAGGTGGTTTTCGAATTATTCAGAATTTTGCACTTTATTCAGAATTTTGCAATAAACTTTTCAGTTTATTGGCGTTTTTCGTGCCTCCCAATATTTTTTAGCCTTTTATGTGATTTTTCGGAGTTTTTCGTGTTTTTCGACTTTTTTCGTGTTTTGTTTTTGTTTTTCGGCATTTTTTATGTTTTTCAGCGTTTTTCGTAATTTTTAAGTTTTTTAGCGTTTTTGAATTTGATTTAACAATTCAATATTGGCAAAAATACATATAGGTTTTAGAGGACATTTGTTTAAAAAATATAAACACCTGTAATTAAGGAAAATATAGGATAAAGTTAAAAAATTATTTAAAAATTCATAGGTACTTGGTTTGTCCACTGAATGTTTTAACATCATACTGGCATATGCTTGACTAAACTGATTGACAATAAGTGAATACACTGATTTACACTAGTTTATATTCAAAAACGAAAAGTTAACTAGAAAAAATATTAAAAAGAATTTTCAAAATCTAATTTCTAAACAAACAACTTATATATTAAACTCTTTTATACATCTTACCTGTTAAAGCTGAAAGACCTTGTTGTCTCTGTGTTGATTCGAAAAGGTCTTTGACTCTATTGTAGATTACCTCCTGGGGATTGTGCAAGTAAAACGATTCTCCATTTCCACTGCTTACGCTGCTTTCAGAGCTACTAGATGCACTAAAATCAAAAATAAATCATAAATATGTATAACGAGTTAAAATTCAAAGGGAGATCACAAATGAGATGGGCTGATGACATTAAGAAGATCGGAGGACATAACTGAAAGCAAGTGGCGCAAAATAGAAGACACTGGATTGATTTGGGGGAGGCCTATGTCCAAAGTTGGATTACTTAAGGCTGAAGAAGGATTTCAAATTTAGCTTAAAGAATTTCTGTGATTAAAAAAATTACTACAATATGTCAAATTGTTGAATATAGCTGTATAATAGATACAATGTATTAAAAAATAGTATCAAATTATATTTGGCAAGTTGTTTGTATATTTGAAACAAGACCTATTACAATATTATTACTAATTGATAAAGATTGTTTTAACTTTAAAACCGATATTATTTATAGTTTATAGTATTATTACTAAACTAACTTATAAATAGTAATATTCCATAAATTCAGTCAATAAATCTCTCGTTTTCTTCCATGTAAATCCCAAACCTTTCACAATCCTGTAGCGGAAACTCACACTTCCAGTCCACTCGTACGCCTCTTGAAGACTTTTGCAAAACCTGAAATGATACACGACGACCTTTAGTCTAATGAATGAACTATTTATCGCAATCCTTAAGTCTGTCATAGATGCTTTCCATTTAGCAGGTGTTGTAGCTGGAAATTCTTAAGAATACTTGAATGGGCGTTTGCTAACATGTTAGCTTGTTAAAAATTATCCTTTCTACTTTACATACAGATACTCCAGTAGCTTCGCTTAAGAGTTATTTAAAAAATTTGTAAACTACCGTTTGGATTCCCGTGTCAAAATCTGATAATTGTAGTATAATTAACCGTCTCCCTTCTACAAAATGGTATTACTTTTTGTATTCCTGCACTTTTAAAATCTTAACGCCCATTTTTCCGCAAATGTTTTAATTTTGTACTGGTCGTACTCATCTCTAAATGCGGCCGCGCTATCCAGTAATCAACTTTTTAGGTAATCCTTCTCGAAGAAAATCATCTTTTCGATTAGCCAATCATTGATTTGATTTTTGTTCCATAATTTTTTTGGAAAATTAAATTTGCGGGATTGGTATGATGCGTTATCCAAAATGACAATGTTTTCTTTGTCTTTCGGCAAATTTTTAATTAACGTCTTCCACCCATTCTCCATTTCTTCCCGTCGTGGTAATCAGCGATTACCTTTTTTACTAAGAAAGTTATTTCGGCCCATGTCACAAAATCAGTTTTGTTTCCAGCATGAAGAAGAACGAAGCGATGACCTCTTTGGATTGGAGCTTTCAGTCCAGTAGAGAGCCTTTTTATGAAAGCATCTCGTGGATTCTTAATCGTTGTGTCGCCCCATTCCTTTTTAACTGAAGCACCAACGTTAGTCCAAGACTCATCGGTATAAACAAGGTTTACCTTATCCTTATTCCTTAATGTTTTTATTTGTCTGAGGTACTTGTGTCTCCAAGATATGATATCTTTTCTTTCCATCATTATCGAAACTCGACCTTTTTTATCATATTCAATACCCATGTCATTTAGTAGCCTACGAAATGTGGTTTTTGAAAAAAAACTTTTATAGTTTTTGTTAACAAGTTTTTGGTCTAATAGTCAGTACCCAAATCGACAAAGAGACATGTTTGCTTTGCGTGGACATTGGGGATTAAAACTGATTCGCTTCTTCTAATGACTTTATAAGGATCTTTATTTTCTTCCCAAAGAATCTGTTTCCAAAGAAAGCTATTAAAAATTTATAAATATAGAAAAGCTATTGATAATGAGTTTTTGATATAGTATTTCTTTATGTTATTGTCTAGTTCGACAATGTTACTCCTTTATTTATATATCGATGATTGAATCATGTTTTAGTTGAAAGAATGATGATAGTCTTTCAGTTCAAGATATTCCTCGAACAAATATTAAAACCATAGAAAAGGAAATGTGAAAGTATGGGAATATCAATCCAGGACAACTTCTTGTACACATTAAGCTTTGCAGATGACCAAGTGGTAACGGCCCAAGATAAAGAAGATCTGTGCTATATGCTTCGAAAATTAGAAAAGGAATACACAAAAAATGGACTAGAAATAAACCTAGAAAAGACCGAATATTTAACAATAGAGCAAGAACCAGTGAGGAACTTGGAAATGGACGATTGATTTTATAGGGAAATTAACGGCACTGAAGAATTCAAATATTTAGGATTCATACTCTCAAAAAATGGAACCACCGAGTAAGAGAAAACCAGCAGATTAGCACAGACAAGAACATTTATTAACCAAATGAACGGGGTACTGTGGAATAGACCAGAAATACAAAGAAGAGAATTTATAACACCTTGGTACGCAGTATAATGACCTATGGAGCAGAGAATTGGGTAATAAATAAACGAAACAGGTCCAAAATCACATCAACTGAAATGGAGTTTATGAGAAGAAGCTGCAGAGTGACAAAAATAGATCGCATCAGAAATGAGGAGATAAAACGAAGAATGGCAGTAGAACAAGACATACTCAGCTACATCGAATAAAAACGTTTAATTTGGTATGGACATGTGAAAAGAACAGATCATATAAGGTGGATAGCAAAGATTTCGGATTGAGCCCAATAGGAAGGAGGAAAAGAGGTAGACCCCGACGATCATGGAGGGATGAAGTGGACGAGGCCATGGAAAGACGAGACCTTATAGATAGAGAATGGCAGAACAGAAAGGACTGGAGACGTTGACTGAAAGAAGGAAGGCGGCGACAGCTGTAAAAATCCTTATATAGATAGATATATACTATTTAATTGGGAATAAGCCACAACTAAAGGTTAAAGTACGTTTATTGATGTTTCAATTTTTACGTCAATTTCCGAAGTGGAAATTGAAACATCAATAAATTTGTACTTTCACCTTTAATTGTGGCTTATTCCCATTTAATTACAATATATAAAAAGTATTTAAAAATTATTGTCTTTAACAGTTCTATTACAAAATTGGCACTAAAATGTTTAAATAATCTCTTACCTGTGTCTATGTTTGCTCATTGGATTAATATATAGCCCATTTTCCGGTGCATGGGCAGGCTCCATCGATCTGTCACTTAAAGGTGGATGAAGATAAAACGGTTCTGAATTATTGTGTTTCATGGTATTGTTGCTACTAATTGACTTGGGTTTGCAGTTCGAACAGTCGCTAGCTACACTGTTTCCCTAGAAAACAATCAAAATATTGGTTGAATTTTATGTCTAAAAAGTCTAATATAAATGTTTGAAATAAATACACCTATAAGCATCTATGGTTACTGCTAAAATAGCTTAGTCCATTTTCAACTGAACACAAAATAAAGGAAATAATAAATATGGACAACAAGAAAGTTATGGCAATAACAAGTTATGATAGCAAAGAAAAACAGAAAAATGGAAAATAATCAAAATTAAAATTGTTAAAAAAAACGAAAAATGACGAAAATTAAGAAAAACCTAGATCACAAGTAAAACGGAAATATGGAACAAAACAGAAAAATTATGGCATACAGGAAAAAATGTCAAGTAATAGAAAAAACTGCGCATGACACTTGGGGAGTGCCGACATAAGTGAATACTTCTTATAGCGCATTATTACTATATCGTCGCCGAAGAACCAACACCGCCTAAGTGACTTTTTTTCCCAAATGTACTTTATGGTTCTTTTACATAGTTACATCTCTTCTGCGCCATTTGGCTTGAAAACTGTGTAATTTCGACAGACGACACTCTCTCCAGTCAAACAGGTGTAATATTAAAATTAAGTTGTATTGCTCCGTGTTTTGTGCCAAATTAGCTAGTTAATTAACAACATTTTAATAAAATATCCTCATAATAACTTTGTACTGAAACTTAACCATGAAATTGGGAGGTATTGTTCTTTGTAACTGACATTACATACGTATCAAAATTCAAGTAGATAAGCGGTATTTATTTAAGTAAAATTAATAATCAATTTAAGACATTAAAAATCACCAAATATTTTATGTTTGTTTTTATTTCAGATATGTACTGGGAACTAGAAGATATAATATGAAGAAAAGTTGTAAAAGTTGGACAGGTGTACAGGAGCAATGAACAAAACCGAATATATTGAAAAAACAGAAGGCTTATTAAATGATAAAATTACATATCTTCAGCTAAAAAGAGATCCAACTATGAGGAATTATTAAAACTTATTAAAACTATGAGGAATTATTTAGAAATAAATCAAGAATTTTCCAAAAAAACTGACTATATACAATGCATCTTGTCCAAAACTTTACTGCTTACCACAAATCCATAAAGAAGGTATACCACTTAGACCTTTTGTAAGCTCTATAAATTTGGTAACGTATGACTTATCCAAATCTATTGCTAACATTCTTAAAGATACTTTTGACTAAGTAAACAACTATAATGCAAAGGATACATTTTCATTTGTTAATGATGTCAGAGAGTTGATTTTACAGAAAGATTATGTTTTAACTTCGTTACATGTCATATCGTTATTTACTAACATACCAATAGATCTGGTCTGTAATATAATACAGTCAAAATGGAATCTCATCTAAAATTATACAACAATTTTTAAGGATAGTTTTTTACACTTTTGAATTATGTTTTTGATAACACCTATTAATGATAAATTCTATCGACAAAGATTTGGAGCACCTATGGATAGTCCACTCAGCCCCACAATAGCAATCATCATTTTGGACCACTTGTTGGATGTCATTATTCCACAATTACCTTTCCCTTTACCCTTCATTAAAAAATTTATAGACGATCTTATATGTTCTGTTCCTACTTCACAAATTCAAAATACCTTAAACATTTTCAATAACTTTAACAAACATATCCAATTTACTTTAGAGATTGAAAATGATTGTTCGATATTATTTCTGAACACCAAATTAATAAGAACTGAACAAAACAAAATATTGATAGATTAGTATCAAAAGCCAACACATTCTGGAAGATATTTAAATTTTTTTTCAAATCATCCTACTCATCAAAAGTTTAATACAGTGATTGCAATGGAGACTAGGGTAAGGCATATTCTTCTTCTTAACGTGCCCTATCAAGTCCCCTTGACGTTGGCGATTAACATGGCGAAACTGTCTCTGTCTCGAGCTATTCTAAAGAATTGCTTAGCTTTCCTTATTTCTGTCCACTCCCTGATGTTCTTCAACCAAGAGGCCTGCCTCTTCTTCTTCTACCAATTCCTCTGCGTCCTTCGATTTTAACCATCATAATAAGTTGAAGAATAATATATCGGTCTCTCCTTACTACGTGTCCAAAATAGGCCATCTTTCTACATTTGATGTTATCAAGCAGCTCGCGAGCAGCATTTGCTCTCTCGAGGACTGCCACATTTGTCAGCATAGCCGTCCATAGAATTTTTAGTATACGTCTGTGCAGCCACATTTCAAAGGCCTCCAGACGATTAATGGTGGATATTTTTAATCTCCATGCTTCGACACCGTATAAGAGGACTGACCAAATGTAGCATTTAACCATGCGCTTTCGAAGTTGAAGTTGCAAGTTATCATTACAGAAGAATGACCTCATTTTTAAAAATGTCGTGCGGGCTATTTCGGTTCTACATTTTATCTCTTGATCTGGATCTAGTTGTACAGTAATATGGCAACCAAGATAATTAAAACTGGACACTCTTTGAATTATATGACCATCAACATATAATCGTGCGTCTTGATGTGCTAAACGGCTAAACACCATGTGTTTTGTTTTTGAACAGTTTATGTTTAGGTCAAACTCTCTTCCCACTATATCAATTGCATTTAAAAGGCATTGTAGTCTATTTATGTCGTCACTTAAAATAACTGTATCGTCTGCATATCTGATTGTATTTATCAGAATTCCATTAACTTTCACGTCCCATTCCAAATTATGCAGCGCTTCTTTAAATATTCTATCTGAATATAAATTAATAACAGTGGGGATAGTATACAACCCTGTCTGATATCTCTTTGTATTTGACATATTTCTGTTGATTTTCCGTTTATGCAAGCTGTCGCTGTTTGACGCCAGTATAACTTTTCTATGAATCGTATGTCTTGACTATCAACTCCTTTATCTTTTAATATTGTAATTAATTTGTGATGCTGTACTCGATCAAAGGCCTTTTCATAGTCAATAAATACAGCAAAGACGTCTTTCCTGTAATCTCGACATTTCTGCAGTAATACATTTAGTGCAAAGAGTGTTTCAGCCTGGTATTCTTCACATTTATCTCTGATTCTACTGTGGCTGATGCGTAGAAATATTTTCAAAGTGTGGCTCATAAGGCTTATTATTCTATAATCGCTACAGTTTTTGGGACGTTGTTTTTTTTGGTAGTGTTATGAATTCGGACTTTAACCAATCATCAGGGATATCACCATTCGAATAAACATTATTGAAAAGCTTGACCAGTATTCCAATGTTCTCCTCATTTATAAGCTTTAACATCTCTGTCGGTATGTTATCAGGGCCAACGGCTTTCTTGTTCTTTGCTAACTTTATAGCATGCAGTATTTCTGATTTTAGTATTTCTGGTCCTTCACCTTCAACTAAAGTCTTCAGTTCTTCGGGTCTATCATCATTATACAGTTCATTTGTACAAGTTATAAGGCATATTAGTGATAATAAATTCATAAACAGAAACTTAAATTTGCTGTTTAACATCTTTGAAAATAATGGATACTCAAAACATATCCTTAAAAAATTGATATTTAACTCAGACATTTTTGACGGTCCCACTGATATCGAAGCAATACAAACAATCCAATATAAAAAACTACCACTAATAAAACAATTAAGGTGACTAGTTTAATTAAACAATTTACTAATATTAAAATTGTCCAATATAATTTATTAGAAAACCGACAACTGTTTTCTAAAGTAAAAGACAATACACCAACTCTAAATAAAACTAATGTTATCTACAAACTGCCTTCATTGGATTGCCAGAGCTGTTATGTTTGCCAAACTTCTCAATGGCTAAAACAAAGGGTCACACAACACAAAAGTGACAGAACAAAAAAGAAGAATACATGTACGGTAGTTGACTAATACTTAAAAACTGGACATCAATTTGACTACTCAAATGTCAGGGTTCTACAGCAAGAGAACAATTACAAAAAAAGATTGTGTTTAAAAATGTGTCAAATTAATAAAGAAAAATATGCAGTAAATTACAAGGCAGACATGGGGTAGTTGAGCAATATCCACTGTAATATTCTTAGTATGTTCAAATAATTTTTCTGGTTACAATTAAATTTTAAATCACCCTGTATATTTTTAATGTGTAATTTTATTGTATTTTAATTGTTTCTTGGTTGTTTTTGTTGACTATTTTTCTAATTTAATTACTAGTGACCTAGGTGCTTTTAACCAATATTGTTAGTACTGTTTTGAATATTTTATGTAACATTTTTAAATATTTTTAACTCTAAATCTGTAAGTAAATCATTGCTTATTCTCACCTAATATTTATACAAATTTTAACCCTATTTTAGTTGTCTCCTGATGAAGCTGACAAAAAAACAGCGAAATATAGAGTAATAAAAGAAAAAAGAGTTTTTTTTAAATAACAGATCGCATACCCGATACTCCAATACAATAAATTGTTTATATATATTTATATATATATATATATATATATATATATATATATATATATATATATATATATATATATATACATATATAATACAACTATTGCAGAAATTTTACAAGTTATTTTGGTAATACAATAATTATTTATTTTCTGCACTACTACTTACCATCGCAACACCTTGTGCAAAACTGAAGAGAAATGACTAATAAACAATATTGTTATGCTAACTATCGATTCATGCATTTTTATAATTGATTTATTTTACCAGATCAATTATTATTAATTTCCGTAGTATGGTCTGTCACGCAGAAAACTCTTCGTAATCTTTATAACTTTTTCCGTATTTTCATTTCCTATTCAAACTGTAAGCTTTCTTTCACTAAATGAATATTAGCATAAACATATCGAACAATGTCAAGTAGTATACATATGTATATGCAATAAACGAGATTGGGATATTCTAGAATAACAAAGATTATGTAATAGATACAAAAGAGTATTTAAAGTACTTCGTTGAATATTAATTTAATGAGTTAGAGATTTTAAGATATATATTTTTTGCTCTTTCTTATACTTTAAAAAT